TTAACTTGAATTTCCCACAGAGGATTAATCCATAAAGATAGGACAGGAAGTCTGAGGTAGAGCTGGTTAAGATTTCTTCCCCTTATGGTCCAAATTGGGGTCCTGGTGGCTAATCTCCCCATAAGTATGATGAGGCATTCTTGCTCTAAAACGATGCCACAAGCTTTGTTGGGATTTATTCTATTTTATTTTTTTGAATGGATGGTATTCCTCAGGTTTCTGTTATATGGGTATTTGGAGTGATTCAACATGTCAACCTGTTTCACTTGGGTTTTCATTATTTTCACTTTCAAATGTGAGCTATCTCTTTCTCCATTGGATTTTATTTTTATACCTCTCTGGGAAGGAAATATGCAATATTTATGCACATTTAAAATGTACATTTCCCTATGTACTGTTGTAAATATACGTATGTGCAATGATTTTTATTTTCAATATAACAAAGTAATATTTTAAGTATGTGCAGTTTTGATACACATCCAACCACATACATACATACATACCTACATACATACATACAATAGGCTGGTCAAAGTGGTCCCTGGTAAAAAACAGGTTGTGAACCACTGATTTACACTAAATGCACTAAAGGCTTTTTTTAACTCAAACTCCACTTTGTATTTGTAATTATATTGTCAGAGCCCAGCAGGGACTCTATAATGCACTCACAATCTATAATGTAGCCATAACTTTGCTCATTCTCAGAGGAGACAATCCTCCAGTATCCGGCTGTATTCTTGTAGCAAGAACCAAGCATCCTCCTGAAATGTCACAACCTCTGAGGATGCTTGCCACAGATGCAGGCGAAATGTCAGGAGAGAATGCTTTTAGAACATAGCAAAACAGCCCAAAAAACCTACAACAACTCAGTAATATGGTTTTGCTTGTGCTAGACAGAGACTAATTGGGCTAACCTAAGGGGCCCTCCTACACAGACATTAACGCTGGCTTGAGGTTGGTGCGTCTACAGAATGAATACCCGCAAGGCAAGCTACAACATGAATCTAGGCCAAGACTGCATGTTAAAAAATATCACTGGAAATTCCAGATTACAAGGCACTGTAGAAGCAGTCTAGAGAACACTTGTGGAGAATTGTGGATTTTTTTAAAAAAGTTGACACAGTGAATGTGAAAACCAAAGTGTTTAGTTTGTCCTTGAAACATTAATGGCTTTCTGGTAGAATGGAATGAGGATTCAGTTATTGACCTAGAAGGGGTCTGTAGAAGTTTAGATGCCTGGCATTGAAAGACAACCTAAACATCTGCTAGAAAATGTATACAACTTGACAAAAGCATGTTACACTATACAAGCATTCTGGGATTCTATTCATATTACAGAAGGCAGCTTGTGCCTTATATGAATTCAGTCTTAAACAGATATGAATGAGACTTTTATTATACCTCATCTTTCACAAAAAATTGCCTGAATTAACATATTTTCATATTCAGGATGGAATGAGTGTAATATTTTTATAAGAACTGAATGTCTATGACACAGGTTGATCTTCTCTTATCCAGAATTCTGAAAGCTTAAAAACTCCATAATCCAAAATTGACCATACAAGTAGCTGAGGAAGTGACACCCTTTCTTTCAGATGGTTCCGTCTACAAAGATTTTGTTTCATGCTTGAAAGTATTTAAAATATTGTATGAAAATATATTCAGGATTTGTGTATAAGGTATCGATGGAACATAAATGCATTTTGTGCTTAGACTTGAACTACCCTTCCAAGATATCTCATTATATACATCTATGCAAGTACAAGTATATCAAAATGTGCTCATTTCCCCTCCCTCTCTGTATAGCTGTCATTAATGAATGGCAATAAAATATGGGGACTTTACTAGCAGTTCTTCTCTGGATGTCTCCAATGGGAAATCGAAATGGCACAATTCTGGGAATGAAAGGAGAACAGCAGATTCCAGGAGGATGTTGATGAGTTATATTCACAGCTGAAGTTGGATCAAGCAGGGGGAAGAATAAGCCAAAATGACAAGTACTAAGAAAAAGTCCCCACCCCTTTCAAACCTACCATCCCAACCTATTGGCAGATATACTCCCTCCTTGCAAGACCTCATCTAAAGCTTTTTTTTTGTCGTGTCAGGAGTGATTTGAGAAACTGCAAGTCGCTCTGGTGTGAGAGTATTGGCCGTCTGCAAGGATGTTGCCCAGGGGACGCCCGGATGATTTGATGTTTTTATCATCCTTGTGGGAGGCTTCTCTCATGTCCCCGCTTGGGGAGCTGGAGCTGACAGAGGGAGCTCATCCGCCTCTCCCCGGATTCGAATCTGCGACCTGTCAGTCTTCAGTCCTGCTGGCACAGGGGTTTTACCCACTGCGCCACTGGGGGCTCCCATCTAAAGTTGAGGACGTGGTTGTCCTACAAGAACTTGAAGAGCAAAAATCACCCAGAAGTTATTCCTAAACTGACTATGTTGTGACATTCCTTATTATATGGGACATGGCTGGAAGATGCAACATCTAACAAATTGGGGATAACTTTATATTAACAAGGGGGTTATGCTTTTAGGAAATATAATGTCTATTTTGATACTAAAATCTAAAAAAATCAGTGGTGTGCTTCCAATGGATTCTACTGCATCCTTAAGGCTTGGCAATTCCCTCTCCTTTTCAAACCTCTCCCACCATCTTGGCCTTAGATCCCACTCACGAGTCTGTTTTTCTGGAACAGAGTGGCTTAACAGAAGCTGACATAATAATGCTTACATTAGGTTTTTTAAAAATTTAACAAACAATATAACATTTTCTTAGATGAATGAATGAATAAATAAGTAGTACAATTATTGTATAAACAGACAAATTAATTCCTGAAACATGTGTTTTGCATATGGAAGTATGTCTGACTATTTATTCAAGCCATGTGCTGCAAAGAGATGGCAAACATCTTGTTGTCTTGTGGGGCCAAGAATTCTTAATAAAATAATCTCAGCACAGATTAATAAATAAGGACACACTGTCTTTTATCTTTCAGTACATCCCAAACACAAAACAAGTGTCAAATGTCAAAGTCAGAGCTTCAACTTCACAAAGCTTTGGTTCTTTATCAGAAAGAAAATCACAAATAGATGCTATGATGCATCTCTTTGCATGTTTTCAATGATTATACTCCTAAGTATTTCCATTCTCTGTTCTACAGTCAAGCTGTGAAAATCTGCAGAAGCATTAAAGACTCGGAGCAAATTAATCCTTCCAGTAAAGCAGATTTGAAAAATAAAAATGAGCAAAAATAAAAATACTGTTCCCATGATACAAAACAACACTTGATAAAACCTTAAATAACATTTACATATATATTATATTTCAAAATACTTTATTAAGCATGAGCTGGGGTTATATTTTATTGGCGTTTCCAAATAAATTAAAGCCATTTATCATTGAAAAAATAATCTGCTTTAATATATCTCATTAACTTTGCATCCAATGCAGGCAAGTTGTATTCCCTATTCCAACAAGGTCTGAAGTCCCAAACAGACAGAAAGGAGCTATAAGAAATTATTGGTTTCAACTCCATGGCATGCTGATCTTTTTAAAAAATGAAATTTGAAACAGTGTGGATGCCGCACTGATGAATGGGACTGCAGTCCAAGTCAACGATGGGAAAACTGGGAAGGGGGTGTTCATGCATTAAGATGAAAGGAGGTCTCAGATTAAAAAGCAGTGCTGTCAGTGAATTAATAATTTCTAAAATTTTGATTATTATGACATTTAACTGATCCATTGGGATAGTTAAATATAATTAAATTAATTTACATTTTTACAAACTTACTAAAAGCAGCTTTTGGAATGAGAGAGGTGATAGGCATCCCATAATGAGGAGCTGAGACTTTGAAAGATGAAATTGATTTCATTGACCAACAGAAATGGCACTTGTAACATTTGATTTTTCATCACACTGACCAAAAGGGAAAATATGGTCACAACGATGCACCACCACACCCAAAATGTGCCATAAAATACACAAGAATGAAGGCTATCAAAACCATAAGACCTCAATATGAAAGTGAATGATTTAAATCCAGTTGTTAGTCCAACCAGAAAAGGTCAACAAAATATACAGTACAGTACTTGGTAACAGTCAACACTTAGGCCCCTTCCACACAGCTGATTAAAATCCCACATTATCTGCTTCGAACTGGGATATATGGCAGTGTGGACCCTGATAGCCCAGTTCAAAGCAGATATTGTGGGTTATTCTGCCTTGATATTCTGGGTTATATGTCTGTGTGGAAAGGCCCTTAGATAACTTCTACTGGTTAAATGTTTAATTTTGGCCAGCGAGCCTGATTCCAACTAGAGTCTCCCAGAATCTATTAATGCTATAACGAAATGAAATACTCAGATTTTAATTTTTTGCTCCAATTAAAAATCAATAAATAAAATTGTACACACACCACCACCACCAAAATTTCTCTTCAATAATCTTAAAATCTAGCAAGAATTATATGGCATCAACTTTTGTGCACCATATCTCACTTCATGAGATATGTTATTGTCTGATGAAGTGTATTTATTCCACCAAAGATTAGGCCAAGTAAGGTTTTCTAATCTTTCAGGGAGCAAAAGACTTTTTTTTTTTTAGAACAGACTAACACTCACCTCCCTGGAAATAAAGAAGAATAAAACTCTTGCACCAAGTTAGTGCAAATTTATTCAATTTTAAAAATAAAAGTTGTCACTTTTGGAGCCCTGAATTCTGCACGAGGTGACACTTTTGGTTCCTTCACATTGAAATAGCAGAATAATGCTATACTGACAACATTGCCTGGAGCAGTGATACCCAGGAAGAGCAGCTGCCTGATGATAGCTTTAGAAACACATTTACCTTTCCATTTTTATTCACATTAATAACATTTAGTTGGTAATATTAAAGATCCTGCCATCTATTCTTAGTTTTTCTAAATAAAGCAAAAGTAAACATGCGTTCCCTTTTGGGAAAAAACCTTTTATTTCTATTCAACAATATGAACTGAGGAGTTACCTGCGTAATCTGTTCTTGCATAATGCCCATCTTCTGTCTTTGTAGTGGTGGTTGTGTTATCTGAAAAACACCAATGGGTTTTATCTTGTTATGTTTCAATAACGGTATCTCCTTGCTCTGCTAAATTGTTCTCTTGCATTTTTAATTAATGACAATGTTGTCTCAAATTAGTACTATGTTAGTACTGAGAAACATAAGAAACATTACTACCGGTATACTTCTGGTTTTTAAAATTGTTTCTGTGGTCTATGATTAACAGCAGTGGTTCCCAACATGTGGTCCATGGACCACCAGTGGTCCACAGGAACTAAAATATGGTCCGCGGCCTTACGGTTACTACACTGTTGCAATGTGAGTGACTGGTCTCACAAAACCCTCCTATAGTGCCAAGGTTTATTAAATATGGTTTTCTCTGGGTGAGCAGATGGTGACTACTGGATGGCATATGTTCTGTTTCAGAAACTAGATCTGATGTTATCTATCCAAAGCAATTTTCTGATTCAGCGCCCCAAATAACCAAATCAAATCTAAAGTTGACCAAAAACTGATTCGTAACCCTTTTGGTACTAGTGTTGGAGAATGGTCCCTGGTCAAAGTGGTCCTTGGTTAAAAAAAGATTGGGAATCACTGATCTACGGGAATATTGAATTTGAATGTATCCCATGTTATCCTGAATATGCAAGACTGGCAAATATATGGACCTTTTAGAAACCTTGTTCAGTACAAAAGTGACAAAATTTGCAATCTCTGGCCCCTTCTACACTGCTGTATAAAATCCAGATTAACTGCTTTGAACTGGATTATATGGCAGTGCAGTCTAATATAGTTCAGTTCAAAGCAGATAATCTGGATTTTAGAAGGCAGTTTAGATGGGGCATCTGAGGTAGGGCAGATTTAATACACGGCCTGAATGTCTGGAACAGCTAAAGCTGTGCATACCTGACTAAAACAAAATGGGCTCACGGCTCAGTTACTGTGTGAAGTCCACATGATGTAAAGTTGGATTTTCATCAAAACTTCTGTCTCTAGCAGTTAAAACAAGTCAATGGAAGCCTGGAGTTTTTTTAGAAGCTGTCCATACTGCCAATAGATCAGCACATTTCCAAGTTATGATATTTCAGTGTTGAGTTTTGTGACCAGAAATCTCTAAAAGACAGAGTTGCTTGCTAGCAGCAACATAGTGGTGGTGTCCCTGATGTGCTCCTGCTCCCAGGTTGCATCAGAACACCTCTGGAGATTATTAGACCAGATTGTTCCAGAGGAAATATTTCTAGGCCCCATCTACACTGACACTATAATGCAGTTTCAAGAAAACTCGAAACCTTGGTGGCCACAAAATGCATGTCACCAATGTGTGCTGTAGTGCACATTTAAGGATATATAGCACATTAATAGTCATGGCAAAGTCCGAGTTTAGCCAAATAATGTACTATAGCAGATGCCAGTTTATCCCAGCTCCAGAGCAACTTTGGGCATGGCTGAGCAGAAGGGGGCTAATCGGCCCTCTGGAATGGGAATTGACTACCTCCACTGCTACTTGTCCTCCCCTCCCCTTATTTTCACCCCTATGCCTCCAGAGTGCTAGTGCACATCTCTTCGGGAAATGGGGGGGGGGGGGGTAAAATCCCTGCAAAGCAGTATGAAGCCAGATTAATGTAATTAATTGTCCATCTGACCTCAGACCAGTTCCAGATCTAGACATCTCCACAGTGAAAATAGTTCCTCCCAAACTTGTTCCAAGCTGCATTACAGTGTTAATCTAGATGTGTCCTTCCTTATAATAGATTTGGCAGCACAGGAATAGTTCTTTCCTCAGAGACAGCTGTCTGCTTGAATGTTTAAGGAAAGGTAAAATGATATGTTACAATCAAACATGTCTTGAACTCATACATTCTTTTAAAAGAAATGCAATGACAAAACTGTCAAATTATATTTTCATATTTCTATGCAATAATAATAAGTAGCATTGACATCGCAACATCCAGGGCCATTACATAAAAGTAGTTTCAAGAATTATATAAGGCATTTAATATGTATAAAGCATTTAATGTAGGAGTTTGGAAGATATGGTTGCTCCTCTGTTTCAAAAACTTCTAGTAGGAAGAACTCCAGTTCAGAAAGATATTTTAACTAGTTTATTTTTAAAACCGCTAATTATTCAAAGGGTAACACATTGCCTTTTGCCAGCGTATTTTAGTTATTTCTCTTGAGAATACATTATAAAAATCCAAAAATATCCCCAAATACCCTCAGTATGGGGACTAACAAGTCACCATTACGATTTCGCAAACAGAATGACTTTATGCCCTTGTTAATCAAAAGTAATACATTGCAGGCAAAGTTGCTAACTTCTGACATATTACTTCCAAGCTTTTTTAAAAAAATGATCTCCAGTTTCATCCGCTACAGTAGAAATTATAGAATCATAAAATTACAGAATACATATTCCTCCATTCCAGAGGTAACTGGCACTTCCCTGGTCTGTTGGGTGAAACTGAATAAGTGAATTGAATAATTGAATATTTTTTCAATTACTACGCATCCTTTCAATTATGAGCATCCTAATTTATAAAAACAGTTGAATTAAATAGAAAGGGTTCTCAAAATTTTGTCCAAAATGTATCTGGGAAAGAAGGAAGGAAGGAAGGAAGGAAGGAAGGAAGGAAGGAAGGAAGGAAGGAAGGAAGGAAGGAAGGAAGGAAAGAGAGAAAGAGAGAAAGAGAGAAAGAGAGAGACAAGATATCAGAAAAAGACAGGTGACCTCATCAGACTTGTTTCTGGACTCGCCACATATCATGGTGAACCTGCTTGCCTGGTGGGGGCCATGGGAAACCCATTGCCCAGCTTTCCCCCACCGATCTGTATAGTAACATGGGAAGCCTCCCATGTTGCCACCATGGCGGCACATACTAGTTGACCTTCCCTTTCATGATGGAGCTCCACCAAAAGTAGGATGGGAAGCATAGGTCTCCATTGCAAAAGGAATACCACTGAAAAACACCACGTCTGATGAGATCATTGGAAGTATAGCAATGAACAAGACAAGATCCTGAAGTGTAAAAATAATGCAAAAATTAGGATAATCCATGTCACCGTATTTCCCATCATTATGTATTGTTGTAAAAGCTGAACAGTGAAAAAAAGCTGGGAGAAAGCAAGAACATGCTCTTTCTGAGTCTTACAACATTCAAGTTATACATGGACCAAAGAGAAAGGAAGCAAACCAATAATAATAACAACAATAATATGCGTGCCTCCAGATTTTGTGTTCTGATTGATTAATGCATTCCACACTTTGCCAAATTACTTTTTCTTGATTTCTCAGGTTTAATTTCTTCTTAATAATTTTTTAGTACAGGGCAAAACACTGGAGAATTGTGCGAACATGAAGTCAATTGTGTCTGGTGTGCACTGTTACCAAATGAGAGATTAAGAACTGTACCTTTGATGGAAGAACAACTCAGGACATTTAAGATAAAAGTTACCAGCCCTCAGATATTGTTTTAAACTGATCAAAACTACATAGAGAGACACTCTCAATATGCCTTCCATGGGTGGTATCTTGGGTTCTATACAAAGAACTACTGACAGAGGCAGCTTTGATACTGGTGATCATCTGCTGCATCTCATTAGGAGGATCTATCAACTCTAACAGCATCCTGATACAAACAAGATTTGAATCCTGGTACTACCAGGTTGTTGACTTATTGCCATGCTACTATATTTCAGTAGTGTGGTGGCAAAAACCCATAGTCCCATTGGGAGAACAAGAGATCTGCACACTGACTGAATTTTAAAGCATGATGTGTATAGACAACTCTAGGATTAAGGTCTCACTCATCTCCTCTTGGGGCTGGTGGCTGTCAAAGCCGATAGTTCTACAAAGTGCCTGCTGTCTCAGCCTTGGTGGGTACAGTGATTGATTGAGCAGAATTGAAACATGTTTCCAGGAGGCTTCTGTAACTCACATTTTTTTTTAGAAAAAGAGGCACAAACTCCTTATACATATTCATATTCAATCTTCACAAGTAGCCTGTGGCCTGTGTGTTGCCAGCCACTGGATTAACATCTTAACCATCTCCTCTTCAGGGTAGTGACTGGTTCTGTTAAAACTGATGGCGTCACTCATCTCATGGGAGACAAGGTACTTCTGAAGACTCTACCAGGGTAAGCTGTGGATCAGGATCAGGATATTAATGCAAACTAGTTTTCCTTCATTTTGAAAACTCTTTCTAGAAAAGTCAGTAGGATGAAATCCAGAAATTTTGGGACAGTGTTGGAAGAGAAAAAAATAACCCTCTTTCAATGGGAAAAGAGTTTAAAATCTGACAGCAGTATGACTTTATAGTTAGTTCATCAGTTGATTATGTGGTTGAATTCCAGAAGAGGTTGATCATAGAGTCATGCTAGAGGACCTAGAGATTCCTATAAAAATGTCCTCTCAGGTAAATAAAAAATAGCTGGTTTTTATTTGCAGTTTTCAGATTTTCTCAGGGGTTTTGATTCCCTAACCCCAGTGGATGTGGGGGACTCACTGTTTTATATTGATTTTATCAACAGATTTATTAAATAAATAAGCAAATGAATGAATATTAATAGATTTCTACAAGAAACCAATCTAGGTGTCTTGTACTGTTTATGCAACTTCAAATATTTCAGGATTGAAACATGGAGAGCATTCTGCCAGCCTAAGGCATTCTCTTCAGCTGCACTGACAAAGCATACGGTAACCGTAGTGCAAGTCTAGTCCTTTTTATGGAAAAAACAAGGGCAATAAACAACAATGAGAACCTCATTCGTTTTCATTTGGACATGTATTTATAGAATAGGCTATTCTAAAATTGCACCCCAACTACCCTTGACTACGTTCTATGGCCACATATACTGAAGATACATTTGTGAACCGGTCCCAGTCTCTCTCTAAACCCTCCTAACCCCTTCTCTCTTTCACCTGCATAAATATAAAGCAAAAATATAGAGCAGTCTTTGAAATGGATTTTGTTAGAAACGTTACCTTGACACCGGCCCAAAGACATGACTTCAATTTTCTCCTGTTTCTGGCATGATGCTTCTTTGATCTGACATGCATTATCATAAGATTTCCCATCGGAAGCGCAGAGCGGATTGAAGTTCGTTTGAGAACAGTCAATGTTGCACACGCACCTGGAACAATAAAAAGAGGGCTCATATAAACATAAAATAAAATACCATCACAAATGAATAATACAAGAAAGCCCAACTAGGCTTTCACAGTTAAGAATAAATTGTAAAAAAATAAAGTCAAAAGAATGCGCTTGACATTTTGCCATGGGTTCTCAATTAAAATGTGATAGAATGAAAGCAAGAGCTCTCAGGGGTGGCACAGCTTGCATGCCTGTATAGGACTGATATCCTGGAAAGAATAAAGCAGGATGAACTACAAACAGTCTATCGACTAAGAGGCTGAACTGTGAAGCAAGAAACGTTCAGTTCAATACCAACTGGGGAGAAGACCTTTCAGGTGGTGGCACTACAATTATGAAACTCTTTCCTTATGGAGGCTCGCCTGTGGCCCACTTTGTTATCTTTTCAACAGCAGACAAATTACCTATGTTTTAACTCATAGAATTAATGCTTTATTTAAAGTTTTACGAGGACTGATCGACTGTCTCACGCTGTACTTAATGTATTGTTTTTATTATAAGGAAATGGAGTGGAGCCAAGTGAACACTCTGGGAGTGGGATGGAGACAAAAGCAACAATAGCGGGAGACTTAGAGCAATTCTGGCCGAACACATGCTAGAGCTCTTTGGAAAGCATATGACATGGCAATTAATACATCTTTCTTCACTGCCACCATCGTATCCATACAGTGTCATCCAGCAAAGCTATCTCAATTTGTCAGGAGCATTTTACATCCTGCCTCACAAGAGCAGTATGTAAACCACTCCACAGCCTGATGTATAATCACTCAGATCTGCTCTTACTTCAGTGCTATAGTTGGCATAGATCCAGTGCATATAACATCGGCCCCTGCTTCTCATGTGTGAAATCTGAAGATGTGGAGAGGATCCTTGATGAAGTGATAGCCACCACATGCATACTGGATCCATATATTTCCTAATTGTTGAATGCAGTCTGATAGGGACTGGTGTATTGTGTAACAGGAACAGTAAAAACCTCACTACAGCAAAGCATTCTGTATAAAAAAGACTGTGTGAAAGAAAAATCCTTTCTGGGCCCCACCATATCAGATAACTTTTGACTAATATCATATATTCTGTTTTTGGGCAAATTATTAGAGCATGTAGTAACCTACAAGTTCCATGGCTTCATGAATCAATTGGATTAACTAAATCAATTTCAGTCAAGCTTCAGGCTGACCTGGCTATGGGATGGAGACAGCTTTGGTCACCAAATAAGTAGGGAACTAGACAGCTGGAGTGTGTCCCTGTTAGTTCTGTTGGACATCTCAGTGGCTTTTGATACCATCAATCATGTTGTCTTTCTGGGTCATCACCAACATTTGATAGTGCTCCCCCCTCAGGCTGGATCTATGCTGCCATATAATGCAGTTTCAGAATGCAGATTAACTGTATTGAACTGTATTATATAATAGTGTAGACTCATATAATCCAGTTCAACGCAGTGAATCTACATTTTGAAAGTGCATTTTACGGCGGTGTAGATTTAACCTCAGAAGGTAGTGCTGGGGGAAGCCTGTCTAATTGACACCCTGACCAGAACCCTGTTCTGGTTGTTTTTGTTTGTTGGGAGTTATTTTTCATAGAAAATATGCAAACATACACATACACAAAGTTTTTCAGACAGGACTATCCAAATGTGGATAGTGCACAAAACTGCAGAGACAGCAAATTATTTATTATTTGCAAAGAAAAAAATGATTAAATTTTATTTCTAACATGATTTCACTGCTCCTTGGTTGCATGCTACCTTTATTGAGAAATTAAGACATTCCTCCTTTTTCTATTATATACGACACATGTGGGACACATGATCAATCTAATGGTCAGAAAATAATCTCAGCAATGAGACTGGAAGATGATACCTATTTTGACTTTCCAGTAACCAGTCACAAATGTATCATGCTAAATGCAAGACATCTACATGAAGAAAATCATGTTTAATTAAAACCAGATGTTTCTCAACACTGGAGCAGAACCTCTGCAGATATTATGAAAAATATATCCTTTAGTTTGATGCTCAGTTTCTTTCTTCATATCCTAGCCATGCCATTCTCTGTGCACAGACAGAAGGACTACTCATTGTTCTTTAAGCTGAGGGTTTCAAGGAGCAGGCCAATTAGGGAAGACTCATGGGCTTAATTTGGCCCAAGGAGAAAGATTCTCCACCCCTGGTCTAAACGTTGACTGGATATCAGCAAATACTGTATGACAACCAAGAACAAACAATTATTACTTTTTCGTATTGTTTTTATTATGATATACTTTTGGAAAATATCCCTCAAATCAGCAAAAAAAAAAAAAAGAGCCAAAACATACTATAAACTTAGGAGCAATATCAGGGTAAATATCCTATATAATTTATGGAGTTCATTTGGAGGTATAATGGTAATGAATGAAGGAGCAGAAAGAAAATAGTAGCCACAATATCAATTTGAAAATTTAGGAGTGGAAGAACACTAAGGAGGCCTGTAAAAGCATAGGGAATGCGCAAGATTTCAGATACAGAATTTCTTTTGAGAACTCATTTTTGGATAGGAGAGTATATGTGTGTTGGGAATCCTCACTAAAATACATTTTAAAATGAATGAATGAATGAATGAATGAATGAATGAATACTATTACATAGCAAATTTCATAGGCTTTTGTGAAATAGATACATCCTTTATCCAGAATTCTGAAAACTTGAAATACTCCAAAACTGTCCATATAGGTGGCTGTGATAACGTGCTCAGACTTTGTTTTAAACATTAACTTATTACAAATATAATATGAAATTATTATCAGGTTATGAAGCATAAATGAATTTCATAGTTAGTCTTTGGTCTTTTCTCTACGATACCTCATTACATATGAATATTTGAACAGAAATATTCCAAAATTCCCCCAAGTCCAAAATACAAAACACTTCTTGTCCTAAGCATTTTGGGTAAGGGCTGATCATTCTGTATTCAGATCACCCCTGGTTTTGGTTTCCCCTCAAAGTCACTGGGAAGTACTTTGGGATGTATGATATGAAGAATTTTCGAGCATCTTTTTTTCAGCATCTGCTCCATGGCTGTGTGAACTGATCAAGTTGTTTATTATTAAATTTAGCATGATATAAGACAAATTTCCCAGCAGGTCTGATGTTTGAAAGTTTCCTGACTTATGAAGACAGGCCTTGCAGAATGTATGAAATGTGCCTGTAGTGTGTCTTTTCCCTGCTTCATGATGTTATCGACTTGAACTGAGTGCCTCTGGATGTGTGCAAAAAACAATAAATGCCTTGGAAATATCTATAGAACGCTCTAGATACCCATGCCTTCCATCCAGAGGGGAGTCTAACCCCCCTCTGTACCAGCCATGATGATGTCACTGGTCAACACAATGCAATAGAGCTTTTTTACACAAGCTCTAAAATGTCTATATCAATTTCTAAAGTTATTCTAAAGGATTCTGAAGCTTGGAGAGACTCCAAATCTAATTCCTGAATAATATCTCAAGAGGAAAATTTAAAAAAGTCAACCCATCACTCAATGAAATTCTTTGAGACAGCTATTATTGTCCTTTGGTGGTGGTTGAGGTGGCGGTGGTATGATTGCTCTTCCCAGTCTGAGCTTTTGGGACTAGGAGGATAATATATCTACATGAACAGAAACCTCAAGGTGCACTTCCCTTTGGGGCAAAGAATTATTCTTATTGTTCCATTAAAAGGAGTGTAAACAATGACAGGTCTGTTTGTGGCAGCAGTCAGATAGCAGTTTCCCTGTCCCAAAGGCTCTTGGACGTGCTTTACTTTGAAAGTAATATGATCATTTGATCATTTTATCACTGTGTGTGTGACAGCCAGTTATAGTTTTATCAATAAATCTACTCATTTCTGTGCAGCTATGAACAATCCTCTGAATAAAGCTGATCCCATAAAAGCTGTCACTGCTTTCCTTGCAGCCAAGGAACAGTGACATGGGAATGTCAAAGACGTTCCTCAAACATCTACTCTAACAGGGAAAGGGCATTTTCCCAACTTGGTGATCTCTAAATTAGTGGTTTTCAACTTTTCTTCAGCCCTTTTAAATACCCTTTGTTGCTGTGGACCTGCAAGACTTAACTCAAGATTTAAAGCACTTCCGATTATTATTATTATTATTGACACAAAAGCACAGTATGTCACAGCAAATGAGTTTTTTGCACTGAATTCAGATCTGTAGATATTTTTTCTCTATCTCATGTAGTTTTGGTGATGAGGCTAATCAAATAATTAATGCATTTATGCACTCATATCAATAGAATCTGATATCAGTCCATAAATGCATTAATTATTCAATTAGCCTCATCGCAAAAACTACACATGATAGAGAAAAAATGAACACACATCTGAATTCAGTGCAAAAAACTCTATAAGAATGACTTAAAATTATTTCAGATGAAAAATACTTGTCGGCTTGTGTTACACTAATATGATGTGAAATGTGCAGACTTTACAGTAGTCCTCTGTAATGTACCATTCATCATTTTCCCAGTGTTTTAAAATTTTATTATTTTAAAAAGTTGATGTGATGGAAAAAATAAAGTCATATTTAAAATCAACATTAAAAATTGTTCAAACTGTGCTACTCTCATTTCTGATGATTATAAAAAGTTTGATTTTGTTGACTTGTTTAATCATTCATTTTGTTCTCGAATTTCATATATTGAAAATACCCCTTTCTAAGATTCTCACTTGGATTAAGTGGATGGTGTGTAGACGATGCCATGTTTCTCGATAAACATCAAGAAAACAAAAGTGCTCTTCCTGCACTCACCAGCCAATTCCTCTCCAGAAATACAGCTTAATGGTGTAACATTAGAAAATGTTGACAATTTTTGCTACCTTGGCAGCCACCTCTCCACAAAAGTCAACATTGACACTGAAATACAACGCTGTCTGAGCTCTGTGAGTGCAGCATTTTTCTGAATGAAGCACAGAGTGTTTGAGGACTGGCACATCCGTAGGGAGAC